AAGAGACACCTAGGTTAAACCCGAAACTATTGAAAGGATCCTAAAGAAAATTCTAAGCAATAAGGCACTAGGAGAGGACAAGATCTATAACAAACTTCTAAAAGCATGTAGGAAGGGGCTAGCCCTAGCACTAGCTAATATCTTTTTACGAAGCCTAGTACTAGGACACTACCTAAGACTATTTAGGAAGTCCCTAACAGTAGTGCTAAGGAAGCCCTAGAAGGAAGACTATATACAGCTTAAGGCCTATAGACCAATAGCCCTACTTAATATAATAGGCAAGGTACTAGAAAAAATTGTCGCTAAAAGGCTAATAACCTTTGCCGAGGAAAGGAATATCCTTCCTAAAGGCTAGATAAGAGGAAGAAAGAAGAGGTTAATACTAACAGCTATAGAACTAATTACAGAACAGATCAAGTATATCTAGCACTATAGTTAAAACTAGGTAGCAACCCTCCTCTCCCTTAATATCTTAGGAGCCTTTAATAATATCTCTTATAAAAGGCTCCTATATATACTTAAATAGAAAGCTATACTAAACCGGACAGTCTAATTTATCTAGTCCTTCCTATAGGAAAGGTTAATACAGCTTATTCTAGGCAAATTCAAATCAGACCTAATGCTAACTAAAAAGGGAATCCCCTAAGGATCAATACTCTCCCTAATCCTCTTCCTTATCTTTATAGTAGACCTACTCCTACTCCTAGAATTAAGAAACACATTAGCATCAGGGTTTATAGATAATACAAACATCCTAGCCTAGTTTAAGACAACAGAAACCAACTGCAAGATCCTAGAAGAGAAGCACTAGGAGTATAAAAAATGGGTAAGGAGATATAGAGCAAAATTCGCCCTAGAAAAGTACTAGCTTATCCACTTTAGTAAGGCTAAATCAACCTACAATATAAAGCAATTAATTACTATTTAAGGCTTTGAAACCCAACTATTAGCAGAGCTTAGGGTACTAGGGATCTAGCTAGACCTAAAACTGAATTAAGGACTATAAGTAAAGAAGGCAAAGTAGAGGGTAGATGCTAATATGCAATCTATTAATAGGCTTATAGCCTCTATATAGGGGGCTATATTCGAGAAAGCCAAAGTTATATATAAAGCAATTGTTAAGCTAGCAATACTATATAGAGCATAGATATAGACAGCCTAGGAGAAAACACTAAAGAGGATTAAGCAACTAGTTAGTAGGTCCTAAACCTAAGGCCTAAAGAAAATCCTAGGAGCATACAAAACTACGCCTATAAGGGTAGTAGAAATAGAATTAGGGATCCCACTAGTTAAACAATACTTTAAGGGACTAAGACACTAATATATAGCAAAGACAATAGAATACCTAGCCTAATAGACTATCTAAAAGGCACTAGACAAGATAAAAGCCTAGTGCATTAGGACTAGGAGGCGAGACAGACTATAAATAACTCCCTAGAAAGTCAAAGACCTAAAGCAATATAGAGTCTTAATAAGAGAAATGCTAGAGAAGGAGCTTTAGGGACTAAATATAAGGCTAAAGGAAGACAAGCTAAAGGGAGAGAAACAAAGCCTAGTAGAATCAATTGCTAGATACCTATAGGAGCAGGAATAGAACAAAACACAAGTTAGACTAGGAACCCTAAAGGCACTAATCAAATTTAGTTAATACAACTACTAGCTCTATAAGGACCTAAATAGGGCCGAGGTAAGCCTAGCGATCTAAATTAGATCCGAATACATTAGACTCAGATCTTACCTATTTAGAAGAAACGTCCTAGGAATTGAAAACAGAGCTTACTAATATAGCTACCAATCTTAGAACCCTAAGCATATACTGCTAGTCTGCCCTTAATAGTTAGAAGGCAGAAGTAATTAGAGACTAAAAGCAATAGAAAGGGAATACGACAAGCTAATCTAGAGCAAAGAAGACCTAAAGAGGATAGTAAAGTAGATCCTTAAATAGGGATTTGTACAACAATTCGCACTAGCAAGGGAAACTAAAGAGTAGATAAGAAGGAGGGAAGAAGAGGGGGAAAGAAGGGCAGGGTAGTAGGCAAGGTAGTTAGAGGGTAATAACTATAATACTAGTGCACCCTAGAGGAAGGAAAACAAGGAAACGAGGAAGATCAACACTTATAAATAGGATAGGAGGGAGGTTTTTACTAACTAAGTTGGTTTCCTACCTAAAACAATACATAGAAACAGACCTACATAGGCCGAAAGGCACTACAACAGGCAAATAAAATATCTATCTATCTATCTATCCTAGGTATACTTCCGAGAATGCTACTTAGCCGGCGAGTCCTTATTAATATTACTAGTTAAGAGTATAAGCTACTAGTATATCGTAACTCGAGCCTTATCGATCTGCTTACGACTATCGATAAAGATAATAGTCTTCTAGATATTCTATAGTACCGCTAAGCTATCGGCGTCTACTGTATGCCTAAGTACGAAGTATAGGTAATCGAAACCTATTATCTAGCCCTAAGGCATCGTTTGTAGGATATACTTAGTATCTAGGCGATCGATAGTGCTCTAGACAACCTAGGTCTCGAATGCGCTATCGCCTTATATACGGAGGCCGTGCTAAAGTAGATACTTCTTAGTTTCCTTAGTTAATGTTGTAGAGTATACGAGAATCGTCGTATCCTATATTATAAGCTAGCGAAGGAGGTAAAGGACTCTATAATCTGCGCGGAAGTCCTTCTACTTAAGATCTATATACGCTTTATCCTATACCTATAGGCTAAGGCGGTCGGCAATAGCACGTAGGACCTCCTAGAACTTAGTACTTATCGCTTGCTCGGAACTGTAGATAATATACTAGTATCGGCCTTCTTTAATATTAGTAAACATAGATAGATCCTTCTCCTTTGTTTAGGCAGTAAGGATACAGACCTTAATTAGATCCTATTCTTCCTTATCTAACTAGCGGATAGCGGCTACTATATCCTCGCTCTACTTATCGGCGATACGTATAAGTAGCACGATCTGTAACGTAATAAAACTAGTAAGCATAGTATAGGCCTAGAAGATAATCGTTTTGCTAGCGCTAGTACGAGCTAAAAGCAATATATCCTGTCTTCCGAAGATAATAGTATAGACGTAGTCGAGCTATATCTTAGTCGGTTCTAGTAATAGCTCGCGATAGGGATGCATTAGCTTTAATATACGCCGTAGACTATGCTCGATAATACGACGATAGAACAGCATCGCCTATTAATTGCTACTAGTATCCTATATAAGTAGCTATACTTCCTCGAGGCTATACTCGTCTATATTAGCGTAGCGCTGTTCGAAGTATGCCGCCTAACTAGCTTTATTATCCTCGTTAAGTTCTAGTATCTCTAGCTCGCGGTCGATAGTCTATTAAGGCTCTATTCGATTAATTATAGGCCGACTAGGTAGGCGTACGAAGCACTTATCGCCTTCCTTCTTACGCTAATTTCTAGCGCTAGCGCTAGTATCGCCGATATTAAGTCTACCCTTCTTAGCCTTATCGCGATCGCGCGTAGAGAGGTTAGAGAGCGCGTTAGGTATTGCGGTCGCCTATTATATACTATCGGAAGTGTTAGCAGAAGTGTTAGTATAGTAGATATAGAAGATATCGGAAGACTAGGTATCGAGTATTAGATATAACAGTCGGGGTCTATTAAGCGGTAGTATATACGACTTTAAGAAGCAGCAAAGACTACGGAGCGGGTATCCGTACTATTTAGAATAGTAGGTCTCGGCGCTCGAGTATCGCTATCGCGGATATATTAGGTAGCTAATATACTAGATACGATATAGAGGTACTAAATACTAGATTATCCGGCAGCGTACAACGTTAAACACGATCGCGGATGTGTCTTAAAGGTATCTAAGAAGTTTTAAGTTACTAGGTATCTATATAGGTATCGAGGTTTCGATAAATTAGCGAAATAGCTATTTTAAGGGTAGGTACCGATAGGTAGCGAGTATAAGTAAAGTATAGCAAATACGGGCAAAGCGATACCTAGAGGTACTAGAGTACTGCTTTCTAAGGTTCCTCGTATAGATAGAGTATTCTAGAAGATAGTTGTTGTCTATTATAATATAGGTGTTCGTAGAATAAACGCGAAGCCGAAACTATCCGTATAGTTAGAATAGACTATAGATCTTACTTTTACGATACTAATTTCGGCGTATTTACGATGTGTTGCGCCTTCCTGTACTATAGAACCCCCTCTATATATACTAAGCCCTATCTGTAGTAGGTGTTAAGTTATAAATCTATATATACTCTATAAGGAGGTGTTACGAATAAGGAAACGCCCGATTAGTACAGTTTATCTTTAGGCGCTTCGCTAAGGCTCGCTCTTCCTTCTACACTATACTATATTAAGAAGACCCGAGATCCGGTGCACGTAGAACATAAAGGAAGTTACGAGCACAAAGCGAAAATAGCCTGAGATAGAGGCAGCATACGAATGGATAGCGCTTCACTTTCGACTCGTTATACTCGCCGATCTCCTTAGTAGTGCGCTCTTTGCCCTCAACCTCGAGGCCGAGACCGTTGGGATTGGCCTTGCAGGGAAGTACTCTACCTATGAGTGATCTGCCATCTGCTGTTGTTCCGGCGTGAGCATCTCGTATAGTTGGCCTGTTTGAGGTCAGCGGTTAGCATACCATGGCATCAGCGTCGTCCCCGAACACGACTTACTGTTACTGAAGAACGCCGTCCGTCCTGGAGCGGCCTTCAAGCTGTATCCAGTGCCATCGTCCCAATTTATGGTGACATCAGGGCCTTTCGGTTGCTTTATAGAACGCAGAGTTGTGAACCACGCCGGCTCTCGATCGTACAATAGAGCGTCGATATGCCAGCGTTGGAAGCGAGTGATTCCAGCTTTGAAGTCTTCTTCGGGCAGCGGCTTGAGATGGAAGTCATGAGACAAGCCCTTAACATTTAGGTCTCGTAGCCCATAATGGTCCTCTCCCTGATATCCTTTGCCGATCAAGCGGACATTCTCAGCGCCTGGGATCCTATGACCCTCTTATCGCTTAGAGAGCATGCCGCCTTTGTTTTGGAAAGTCTTGATATCGCCGTGCGAATGCACCTGTTCCGCCTCCGGATCGAATCGAGCGACAAGCTCCCAATGCTTCTTGGGATCAAGATCATGCTGGCCTTTGACGACTACGACTTTGTGCGTCCAGATAGCATCCCGGAGGTGTTTCACATCTGCGTCCGAGATATTATTCAGATCCAAGCCGGTGATGATGGCTCCGAACTACATCTTTCTCAGTATGCCTGTGCCTGACTATTAGGGCACTTCGCTCACGTTATACTGCTCCTTTGGGCTCTTCTCGATCTCGGAAATCTCAAATGTTAGCTCTAGAAGAAGCGTTGCAGGTGCTATCGTATTAATTGCACTACGTGCTCTATAATGTTTCTAGATTCTCGTAAAGACTCGAGTGTATCTGTACTAACAGGATAGTCGGTTTGCTTGCTAATGAGAGGCGTGTTGACTTAGAACAAGGAATAAAGTCTCATCCCGACATCACCTACCAACCGGTTAACCATTCTCAAGTATCAGAAATACATAACCTAAATCTCCATTCCCCCTTGCCCCTTCCCCCTCCCCTCTACCGGTTATCACCCACTCGGATGATCCGAAGCCGCAACATTACACTGATGCATAACACGCGGCCCATAGTGTTCCGGAAACTCCGTAATCGAATGCCAAAGCGCACGATTATACCAAAGAACCACATCCTGCTCTTGATGCCGATGCGCATAAATATTCTCCGGGGAAAGCACCGGCCTCATAATTCTGTGCAAAAACTCCCTCACATCCTTCAAATTCTCTACAATCCTTTCCTCACTGCTATCGGGATTGTCTTTGAGGTATAGTTTCAACGCACCTTGGCCGTGGACTTGGAGGGATTTTTCCCCGGTTTGCGGGTTCGTCCAGACCATGGGGTAGATACAGATTTTGGATTTTCCCCAGGGAGGGAGTTTGGATAGGGGGGTTTCTTTGCCTTCGGTCTCGAGGGTGTGGCCGAGTCGGGTGCTGCGGGCTGTTGACATCCATTTGAAGGCGTGGGGAGCGTATTCGATTCGGGAATTCATGACGATGTTGCGAGTTTCGTCGTCGAGTAGCTCGAGAGCTCGACTTCCGGCTACCATTGCCGTGGCACCCGGGGCCATTTTCATCTCATCTCTACTGCCATCTTCCCACCTGACGGTCACGTCCGGCCCTTTGGGTGTTCTGACTGCTAGTAGGCACCCAACTCTTGGTGGCGGGATGTTATAGAGTGCTCCGTCCCAATGCCATTGGTAAAATCGGCTCGCGCCTTTCTCGCGCTCTTCTGCTGGGATGTGAGGCGGTAAGTGGAAGTCAACGTGGTTGATGCCTTTGACCTTGAAGCCAGGTGGGAATTGGTAGTGCCCGTCTGGAAGCTCGCCACGTCCAAGGATATGGACTTGTGGTTGGACTGGAATCGCAGGACGCTGGGGAAGTCCATAGATTTCTACGCCATTGTGGGACGTCAAGTATGGATCTGCGCCATGAGCAAAGCCTCCTGTTGTGTCGTCTGGATCAAAGCTGAACGACCATTAGCATTAATCTCGAAGTACTGAGGAGGCTGACGAACCTAGAAGTGAGTCGAAATTGTTGCTGAGGAGTCAGCATAGCCGGTTGCTCCTTGAATACAAGCAATTTGTGCTTGTGCAGAGCATCTGATATGAAGTCGAAGTCCGCATCGCTGAAGTTGTTCAGATCGATTCCAGACACCTCTGCACCAAAGCCTGCTTTGCTGGAGGGTCCATCCGAAGGATGCTGGATGGGAATAAGGCGACCATTGCTGCTCTCGCTATGCGGTAGCGACGGTCGATCCGACTTCAGCGTCAAGACTGCTTTAGCAGGCTTTGTTTCGACTGACGTGGTTGTTGTTGATTCAATCACCATGATGAGCCTGATCTGTGTGTCGCTATGATTCCCAGTCTGCTTCGATATTCTTTTAGTCTTGCTTCCCGATGTTTTTCAACACACCTGTTGAGTTCTAAATGATGCTGTACGCCGACCGATATCAGTGACGAGCAAGTAATCCGACATCCTCAGCTTGTGCCAGGGCTTATCGAGCATCGGTCGAGCGCTTTCGGCCGAATCTTGCAGGAGTGACCGTTTTGGCCGCGGCCAGGATCGGTTCGGCAGCTCTCAAGCTGGATGATGTACTTGCTCAAAACCATTATGGTAGAAAGAACTGTCAACATTGCCAGTAAATAGCGAAAATGACAGAAACAATTCTCAATTCTCAATCTTTCACGACTGGAAGTGGCACGCAAACGCATTATACCACGTGCGGAAATTCGTCTGGCCAGCTGCTAATCCCTCTTCACAGTCTTGGTGGCTCAAGCAAGACATTTGAACCTTTGCTTCCCAAGCTCCCACTTGCTCGATATCGAGTGATAAGCGTGGACTTTGAAGGCTTCGGCAAAACTCCAGTCACTTCGAAGCCAGCATCAGTCGCTCGATATGTCTCCGACCTGGACGATCTCATCACGCATCTTCAAAGATCTTCACCCGAGACCTCATCCTCCAAGCCAGTCGTCATCATCGGCCACAGTCTCGGCTCAATTATCGCCCTCCACTACACAGCCAAGAAACCAGACAACGTCGCCGGTCTTGGTCTCCTCGGTGTCGGGCGCTCGGCTTCCCATATCGAAGCAGCGCGAGAGAGGATGTTAGGAATGGCGGAGAGGGCGAGATGCGAAGGTATCGAGCCGCTGGCCGAGTTGGCAATGACGACGAATTTTCCTGAAGATGCGCCACAAGACATTCGTTCAAAAGTCAGAATGGCTGTTGCATCGAGCGATCCGGAAGGATATGCGAAGACATGCGAGGCGATGGCGAGTCCAGCGCATGTGGACCCAGTGTACGGCAGAATATTGTGCCCAAGTGTCTTCGTCACTGGCGACAAGGACACGATCAGTCCACCAACCACGGCGAAGGAGGTCAGTAAGTTGTTAGGCGGAAGTTCAAAAGTAGAGATCGTAAAAGGCGGCCATCAACCAATCCTTAGTGACCTTGACGGTACTGCAGCAGCGTTGGAGTGGCTCTTCGAAAGAATTTGAGAGATCCCTAGCACTTCCATTCCTCAGCTGTTCACATATGTCTGTGCCAGTGTCAAAAGGTTACCAAACGCATCATTTCCGTGCGACATATAGTATGAATGGAAGTTCGCCAGAGTCTCGTCTGCGCTGCAGAAAGCATCCCGAATGGAATTTTCGAAGGCTGTGGGCACTGTAGGAAGCTCGTATGTCTCTTGCCAATCAGCAGCACTTGTCGGAGCTTCGGGCGAGACAGATTCGACAGCAGTCCCAGGCATCGCAGCCTCTTTCCTGCTCTGTACAGGCGAGAGACCGCGTTGGAAATCCCGAACCACATCTCTCATGTCGATGGAGTGGTGTCTTTTGGTCCGCTGAAGCCCAGCATTCTCATCAGCCTTTCTCTTGTTATTGCTTGTGGTGCTCCTCTCGCCTCTTGTCCGCTTCTCAAGTGCCAGCAGGTCAGACAAAATCCTCACGCCTCGACTTGCAATCTTGCTATTGTGCGCGGTCTTCAGAAGTCGTACAGAATCTTCCATGAGCATGCAGTGTTCTGTACATGCGGGATCATGTGCGTCTCTGTGCAAGGCGTCAAGGCCCAAGGTAATGCCGGCGGCAACAACGAAAGCATGAAAGATCCACAGCACCGGCGTGTCATCCGCCGCTAATCGTGGCATTTCTTTCAAGATGGTCTTCGAGGCTGCTATACACGTTCTTCTCGTGAAGGTGAAGGCCGAGTTCGTGAAGCTCATGGTCAAAAAGGAACGGTGAATCATGATGATCTTGTGAGCGCTGCTGATGGCAGCTGCACTTCGTGCCCATACCACCCATTTCGGCCAGGAAGGTGCAAGTGGCACGTTGCATAGGAATTCAGGCCTTTGCTCGGATGCAAAGGTCCGCATCTTCTTGTCGAATTTCATGACCTGTTCGTACTTGGTGTAAGACGTATTTGAGATGGTAATCGCGTCCTGCAGCGGTGGCATCAGTGCAGCAATACGATGAAGACATCGGCAATAGCTGGTGGCCGTGGGCACATCGTCTGGCAGCAACTCAAGCGTGATATCGTTACAATTGACGGCTTCCAGTGTACGTAAGTAGATCGGATTCACGAGGTAGCATTCGGAGAATGGTATCGAAAACCAGTCTTGGCTGCAGAGTTGAGTCCAGTCTCTTCTCCCAGTCTCACGGTCGACGGTCTTGGGTGACGTGTCGTCAGGCCGATGTAGTCCCAGGCTCTGCGCGATTCGTACAGCTGATGCAAGAAGCACAGCCTGCTGGTTGGAGTATCCAAGTATATGAGCGCAAATTGTCAGAGTGGCGATTGCTTCGCAAGAGCGAATCGATGGTCTCGCCATATAATGCGCTCGGTTCAGACAAGTCACCACTGCGCGATGCCACTTTTTGCTCAACAACTCTTGCTCGTGTTCATGAAACCCCCAACGCGACAAGGCGCTTCTGCTGCCACAACAAATACTGCCGCATAAGACCGCAAAGAGCACAGCGACCCATTGCAGGTCGACATCAGGGTGTTGTATCTGACCACGATGCTGCCCGAAGAAGTCGTTCAGCTGTCTGCGGAAGCTCGGTCCACGGAAAGAATCATGATACCAGAGGAGAGATTCCAAGTGGTAGTCTGCGAGGCTCATTACCAAATGTTGGTCCGGTAAGAGCAACTGTAGAATCTCTGGCGAGACGTCTTCCTCCGACTCTTCGTGCACAGCAGGACTAGCGCCATCGTCTCCGTACGGTTGATCGTCAAAATATGCTGTAGGATCACTTGATGTAACTGATGTATTAGAAGAAGGACTAATCTATGTAGAAGTCCGAAGATAGAGTGCAGCAGTTGCAGCCTCAGGCATTAGGCACGTGATGGACCCTGACACCTAGGCATACACTCCAAGTTACCCCCTCAGCACGTGTATATCGCTATAGAATGAAACAAACAATACAATAGCCATTCTATTGGCAAAGCAAACAAGGGGTATTAGGTAAGCAGAAACAGATAAACAAACTAGACCACTCTTAGGTTAGACAAAGTAAACAAAGGCCCTCCTTAGTATTTAGTAGCTAGCTTCGCAGCGTTCTTAATAGCGGCCTTGCAATCTACTAGGTTTAGTTGTTTAATAAAGCGGCCGTACTTAGTCTTGTTAAGCGGCTTAGTAAAGCTATCGGCTATCTAATTATATATACTAACCTATTAGACGACAATAGTACTATTAGTAATCTTCTCTCGAATGTAGTAGATACGAGCATCTATATGCTTCGTGCGGCTATTAATAGTGGACTTAGTAATAGCGATAGCGGACTAATTGTCCTCGTATAGCGTAACTAGAAGAATGTAGCCCTTATAGCTAACTTCCTTTAACAAACGAGCTAAGGCAACTGCCTCCTTAGCGCCTATAGTAAGTTAGACATACTTAGCCTTAGTTGACGACAGTGTAACAAGCGTCTAACGGCCGGACTTATACAATAGAGGTCCGCCTATAATAGTAAAGTAGAAGCTACCTATAGAGCGGCGAGTAACCGGATTATTAGCCTATAAGGCATTATAGTATCTAGTAAACTTAAGGTCGTTAGCCTCGTTCTAATTGCCTTAGAAGCGTATACCACGGCTTAGAGTACTAACTAGGTACTTAATTAGCTAAAGGAGCGCGGCATAGTGTTCCTCGGTCGGGTTAGAGATAAATCGTAACAATAGGCCTATAGTGTAGCAAGCATTAGGTCGTATAATTATAGCTGGCTATAGCGCTTTACTAACACCTTCCTAATACTAAGTCTTAAAGGTAGCGCTAGCAGTATAGCCCTTAGGTACACGCTAAATCGATGTCTTAACGTATCGAGGTGCTATTAGTATAGTAGGAGCTACTCTGCCCTATATGCTATACTTCTTACTAAGCCTATTCAAATAGGCATCTTAAACGACGTGAATAGTACGCTGATTGCGGTTACGAATAATCCGCATACTAAGATAGTAGTGTAGGTCGCCTAGCTCTCGTATACTAAAACAGTCCTTTAGCAATTGAGCTACTACCTCTAGTGCTAATAGAGTATAGGCGATAATGATTATGTCGTTAACATAGATAACAATAATAGAGCCGCTAACAACGTGCTTGAATATACACACATTAGCCATTATTAGCATAAAGTCTAGGCTCTTTAGGTACTTTCGAAGCTCTTCGTACCACAGTATTAGTAACTGCTTCAGACTATATAGTGCCTTTAGCAACAGACAAACTATGCCCTTGCTACTACGCTCTTCAAAGCCGTATAGCTGTTTAACGTAGATCTTGTGCTTATCGCCAATTAGGGCATTAAGGAAGGCTATAAGGATATCGTATTACTTAGCCTCTAGGTCGTAATAAGTAATTAGGCCAAATAGTGCTCGCAGCGTAGATAGCTTAGCGACAGCCGCATAGGTTTTATTATAGTCCTGTCCTTCAACCTATGTAAAGCTACGGACAACCTATCGAGCCTTAAACCGGCTTACCTTGCTATTAGCGTTACGCTTGATAGTAAATACCTATCGGCTACGGACAACCTTGCGACCTTTAGGCACCTCTAGTCGAGTTATATAAACCTATATATAGTTGTCAATTAGTGACTTGTATTTAGCCTCGCAAGCTTCCTTCTACTATAGCTAATATAGCGACTGAGTTGCTTCCTTGTAACTCTTCGGAATAGGGATGGTTTCTTTAGGCTTGTCGGACTGCTTAGTAATATAGTAGGAGGCTATAAAACCCTTAATATAGGCTATCGGCATATTAGCTATTGTACGTCGAGTTAACCGCTTAACACTAGCATTAGCTAGATAGCTACGCAACAGTTTACGAGCGCTCTTGTTGCTTCGTATCTTACGTATAGAACGACTACTAGTCTCGGTTGGCCGCTTAAACTTAGGCAACCAACTAAGCTTACCCTTCTTAGCCTATAGATTATATACAGGCTATTCCTTAGCGGATTGGAAACCATCCTTATCACTTAATAGAGGTTGAATAGCCGGCAGGTTATCCTCGAGCGGCAATGGATTAGCGACTTCATTAACCACCTCCTAAGCTAGTTCTTCTATAGGCTGTTCTTCTTGCTAAGCCGGAAGCCGCTAGACTACACTAGCAGCCTCGGCAGGCGACGGAGCCTCGTTGCTTATAGAATTGAACAAAGCCGGCATAATAGACTCAAGGGTAACAAACTCGTTTTTAGACAAGTCGTTAGTGTTAGTGTATAGCTTTATACTATCTAGAAGTAGGAGGTTACCCCCTAACTCAACAAACTAGACGTCCTTAGAAGCGATAACTTTGTATTAATTAGGTAGGTAAATTATATACTTTCTAGAGTCTATAGAGCCCTTAGTATAGCTAACTAGCTTGCTAACTAGGCCTCTACTGTCTATCTTCTTTCTACGAGCTATACTGTAATCGTAGGCAACTATAGTATAGCTATAAGCTCGAAGGTGCTATAGGCGTAGCTGTATTCGTAACTAATTGAGCTCCTTAGCTATAATAGTGTATAGGCTTCCTCCGTTAGCGGTTGGCGTAATATTAAGGACCTGTATAGCGGAGGCAATAGCATATAGCTATAGAGACTTCGGAAGGTTAGCGTATAGCATTATCTTTCTCGCAGTCGTGTATACGATATAATTGCTAACCTTAGTAAGGCCATTCTAAGTAGAAGAATAAGGAGCTATAACCTATAGTACAATGCCCTGATTACGAGCCTAGCTTAATAGCTGATTTCCGCCGTATTTACCCCCTCTATCGAGGCGGTAGATTAGGATTGAGTAGCTAGTCTATATACGGATATATACACGATAGTCCTTAATAGCTACTGTAGCCCCTAACTTGAGCGTACTAGTATATTCGTATCGATAGCCTAACTTAGCGTATATAAACAGTGTGAAATAGCGCTCCTATAATAGACTAGGGTTGGTAATAGTAACTACATCTACATAGACAACGTAATAGATGGTAGATAGTCGTACGCGTAGCAGTCGATTATATTCCTTGTATAATATAGCTATTCGATAGGCAATGCAGTTGCGGAAGTCGGTCTTGCTTCTAGTAATAACAATTTGACCCTTAGCTTCTATTCGTAATAGCTTGCGGTAATAGATATAGCTATATCGTAGATGCTACTCTTCTATCGTCCCTATTAGCACCCCCTTCTTCGATATAAGGGCAACCACCTTACTATCTAGACTAAAGGTTAGTATATAGAGGTAGGGAAGACTATTCTTACGGTATGTCTAAGCGATAGTAACCTTATTGCCCTCTACTATCGTAAACAGTATACGCTTATTATTACAGTAGAAGCAACCCTTATCGGCGAGCTTCTTAGTAGATAGAAGGTTGGCTGCTAGACTAGGAACATATAGTATATTAGACAGCTTCATACTGCTTATACTACGCTTATTAACAACCTTAGTCTAAGCTATACCAACTATCGTAGCGTACTTCGTGTTGCTACTAAACCGGATAGGAATATAACAGCCTTTATATTCAATAAGCAACGAAGGGTCGTTAACTATATACATACTAGTACCTAAGTCGACAACCTAATTAGTAGTACGAGTGCTAGTAGTAAGAGCCGTAGAAACTAGGTCGCTCACTGTAACCGTAGCTATAAAGGCGTAATTGTAGCTTAGGTCTAATAACACCCCCGGGGTAGCATTAGCCGCATACAGCCCCTAAGCACTATTCTAACTAGATAGCGGTTGTTACTATTGTTGCTATATAGTTAGTCCACGCTGCTACTGTTGCTACTGTACCCCCTTCTTCTTAGCCTTCTGCTATTTACGACGTAGTCGGTCTTCCTCCTTTAGGTAAGGGTACTTAGTATAGCAACGGTCGGAAGGGTAAGTGCCTTAACAGTATAAGCACTTCTCGCGATTTTGACTATTCTAGTTGTTTCTACTACGACTACGACCATTGCTGCTTCCGCGGCTACTACGACCGCTACGGTTCGAGTCACCTCGACTATTGCTATTGCCTTATAGTTGCTAGCGCTAGAGGCCGAAGAAACTATTATATTAGGCCTAGTTCAACTGAGCTATATTCTTATTAAGCAACGCGCTAATAATATTGTTAAGTGTGTTATCGTTAATAGTGTACTCGGAGGCGCGCATCTGCTCTCGGCGCATCTGTACGAAAGCCTCGTAGAATAGAGAGATCTATATAATAAATATATAGACAGCCTAATATTAGCTAATAGCTAATTTGGTATCCTTTAAGGCACCGAGCTTCTTCTTATACTTATTATAGAACTTCTTAATGTCCTTGCTATTATACCGAAGGGTAATATATTCCTAGTAGAGTATAAATTTAGTAGACCTACCTTTACTAGTATATTTCTTATATAGGTAAGTCTACACTTCCTACGATATAGCGAGACTAAGTAACGACTGCTAAACCTCGGCGATATAGTTAGCAAAGATCTACGTACGCGCTAATTGATCTTTTGCTTCCTATTTATCTTATCGGTCTTTAAACTCTAACTGAGTTTTAGAAGACAACTTAACATTAGGCTTTAGGCGGGTCCCTTAGACATAGCGCTATACCTATATACCTTTAAGGGCACCCTTAGCGGTATAAGACTATAATAGATAATTCTCCTTATTCTTTAGCTTAGGGATATTGCTTATATAAGCGCTAGCTAAAGTTGTAGGGGGAGCTATTACGGATAGCGACGGCGATAATATAGAAAGAGACTTTAGACT